CTCTCTCACTAGTGAGTGAGTGTGTGTGTGTGTGTGTGTGTGTGTGTGTGTGTGAGAGAGAGAGAGAGAGAGAGAGAGAGAGAGAGAGAGAGAGCGAGAGCGAGCAAGCGCAGGTACAGGTACAGGTGAGATAACCACTCAGGTGATCTCTGCAGGTTGATATTGGGTTAGGGGTTGTGAAGACCTGGAAAACACCTGATCCAGGTCTCCTTCCTCCTGATGAAGATGGTGATGGTGTTGATGAAGATGATGAAGATGAAGGTGTGATGATGAAGATGATGAAGATGAAGGTGTGATGATGAAGATGGTGAACATGATGATGATGAAGAAGATGATGAAGATGGTGAAGATGATGATGATGATGATGATGATGAAGATGTGGGGACAGTCAGACATGTAGAGGAGATTGTACAGACCTGTAGAAACCTGGTTCTGGTTCTGATCATGTGAAAGACCAGGTTCCTCTGGATCCATGTAACATGGTCTTTATTCAGAACGCTCCTCCTGCTGGACCAGGGACCAGGATCCAGTCCTGCTGGACCAGGGACCAGGATCCAGTCCTGGTGCTGGACTCAGCTGCTTGTTTCCTCTCAGCAGCGGAGGAAAGTGTAGAAACGATTCAGAGCAAATGTTTTCAGCAGAACTTCTTCTTCTTCTTCTTCTTCTTCTTCTTCTTCTTCTTCTTCTTCTTCTTCTTCTTCTTCTTCTTCTTCTTCTTCTGGTTCTGGTTTTCTTTCTTCTTCTTCCTGTTGAACTGAACAGTAACATTTAACATTTTCACTTCTCTACACTAACATCTCTCTTCTTCCTCTGTGTGTGTGTGTGTGTGTGTGTGTGTGTGTGTGTGTGTGTGTGTGTGTGTCCAGGTGAGACAGTGTCTCTGGTTGATGTGGATATTTCTCGGAGAGGGGGGAACTCTCTTCATCCCCCGACTCCTCCTCCCCCGCCCAGACGGAGCCTCAGTCTGCTCGGTACTTTTCTTCTTCTTCTTCTTCTTCTTTTTCTTCTTTGTGTTTCTGCTTGTTTCCGTCCTTCTTCCTGTCAGCTGACGCTCAGGTCAGGTGACTGTGAGACATGAGTGTTGTTGTGTCTCTCGTTGGTCTCCAGATGATTTCGGCGGCCCTCCCCAGCAGCAGGGGCCCTTTACAGAACGCAGTGTGGGGGCATCGATGCAATCTCTGCCCCCCCGACCGCTGGCCCTGCCCCCCTCCCTCAGCACCATCCAACACAGCCTGAGCCTCAACGGTGACACACACACACACACACACACACACACACACACACACACACACACACACACAGTCTCTGTGTAACACTGTTTGTCTCCAGTGTGTTAATGACGTGATGTGTTGGTGTGAGTCATGTGACTCGGCCTCTGGATCAGGACTCAGGAAGTCACTGCAGTCTCTCAGTCAGGTCCAGATGTTGACAGATGTTTGTCCTGTGTGTCCATAGACACCTTCCTGCGAGGTCTACCGAGGCCGGTCCCTCTGCGCCCCGACGGTCAGCACCCCCCGCCCCGGCTCGCCCCCCGCTGCCCCCTCAGCCGCCCCGACGCCAGCAGCTTCGCCACCAGCCTCAGAGAACTGGAGAAGGTGGGGGCCTCGTCATCTTTATCCGCGTGTCATACAAACGTGAAGGGGGGCTTATTTTAATCAACTTTTACTGAAGGTTTTTTTACCAGTGACTTTCTTCAGCTTTAAATACAATTCAACAGAAAAATGAACAGATAAGTAAAAAAATGAGATGAATAATTAAAATAATAAAAAATGTATAATATCTAAATAATATAAAATTTATTAAAAGAATCAGATCAAAATAAATAAGATCAACTATGTTGTAACATTAGTGAACTTCCACAAGCCACTGAAAACTACCCAACATGTGTTCAGTATACAAAAATAATAAATCAAATTAACAGATGAAAACACTGACAACTCCAAAACACATCGTCCACATGTTGGTAAAATATATTCAACATATTCTGCTCAGTTACTAAATAAAAGGCTGGACGGACTCAGACAACGCTCTCCTACCGTCGCTAACGTGCAGAGACACGTAACCAGGAAGTGGATATCTTGTTTTCATAATCATTGAAAGACAAACTCCTGATGAAAAATGAAAGGAGAGTGATGCTGCTGCTGCTGCTGCTGCTGTTGTGACTCACAGTGAACGTAGATCTTCTTCAACGATCGGCTCGTTTCCACCAGCTCAAGAAAAGCAGAAGAAATTATCTTTTATTAATTCACTTTCCTCCTGGGAGTTTTTTATATAGAAGATACATTCAGACTTTTTATCTCTAGATTTGAACTGTGACGGTTCACAGACCGACTGTGTGTGTGTGTGTGTGTGTGTGTGTGTGTGTGGGTGTGTGTGTGTGTGTGTGGGTGTGTGTGTGTGTGTGTGGGTGTGTGTGTGTGTGTGTGGGTGTGTGTGTGTGTGTGTGGGTGTGTGTGTGTGTGTGTGTTTTCAGTGTGGCTGGTACTGGGGGCCGATGAACTGGGAGGACGCAGAGATGAAGCTGAAGGGGAAACCAGACGGATCGTTCCTGGTCCGAGACAGTTCAGACCCTCGATACATCCTGAGTCTGAGCTTCAGGTCACAGGGAGTCACACACCACACACGCATGGAGCACTACAGAGGTAACACACACACACACACACACACCCTGATCTGAACAGAGACACAGCTGCAGCTCTCTCTCTCTCTCAGGTGTGAAGTGTTGATGTGTCTCGTCCTCTCTGTCCCTCAGGAACCTTCAGTCTGTGGTGTCATCCAAAGTTTGAGGACCGCTGTCACTCGGTGGTGGAGTTCATAGAGAGAGCCATCATGCACTCCAAGAACGGGAAGTTCCTCTACTTCCTGCGCTCCAGAGTCCCCGGTAACCAGCCAGCCAATTCCCTTTCACCTGTCCGTCCTCACCTGTCTGTTCTCGTCATGTGATCATGTTGTCACCTTGTTGAATTTCATTTGATGACATCACTGTAACTGAATTTACCTGCAGGGATCAGTTGTTTATAATTTTAACCTCCGCCTCTTTCACATGAACAAGCTCGTACCTGGACAGGTAAACCCAGAGTTACCTGTCCAGGTGATAACCAGCTATCAATGTCAGGTTCAGTTAAACCAGATAACAGGAAGTTATCCTGGGTTTGTTGAACCTGATTCGTAGCTCAGATCCACACAGGTGTGTTCAGACTGAGCGACCTGTCACTCAGTGTGTGTGTGTGTGTGTGTGTGTGTGTGTGTGTGTGTGTGTGTGTGTGTGTGTGTGTGTGTGTGTGTGTGGTCCTCAGGTCTGCCCCCGACCCCGGTCCAGCTCCTGTATCCAGTCTCCAGGTTCAGCAGTGTTAAATCTCTGCAGCATCTCTGCCGCTTCTGCATCAGACAGCTGGTCCGTATAGACCACATCCAGGAGCTGCCGCTGCCCACGTGAGTCCTCAACCCTGATCTTGATCCTGTTTCTGATCCTGTTTCTGATCCTGTTTCTGATCCTGATCCTGATCCTGTTTCTGATCCTGTTTCTGATCCTGTTTCTGATCCTGTTTCTGATCCTGATCCTGTTTCTGACCCTAATCCTGTTCTTGATCCTGATCCTGATCCTGTTTCTGATCCTGTTTCTGATCCTGTTTCTGATCCTGATCCTGTTTCTGACCCTGATCCTGTTTCTGATCCTGATCCTGATCCTGTTTCTGATCCTGATCCTGTTTCTGATCCTGTTTCTGATCCTCACATTCATCTTTTCTATTGTCTTTTTGTTCAAGTAGAACATCATCTTGCAACATGCAGCACACATGAACCGCCACACACACACACACACACACACACACACACACACACACAGAAAACAACACCAAAAAGCTTAAAATATGATGAGTATTTATCTGCAGTTGTCTGTGGTTGAATTTGTGTTAATTATTGCGATGGTGACATCACGACTTCCTGCAGGGAACGGTTAACGCCTCCTTCTCGCTCTCCCCTCAGACCTCTCATCTCCTACCTGAGGAAGTTTTATTACTACGACCCGGAGGAGGAGATCATCCCCCCACTGAAGGAGCGGGGGCCGGAGCAGAGCAGCCAGCCGGGGGTGGAGGCCCAAACGTAGCACTGGAGTCTGAGGACGAGGTGAGTGTCTCCTGCAGACCGGAGTTTGATGATAAAGCAGCTTCTACATGAACACTGACTCTCTCTCCTCTCTCCTCTCTTCTTCTCCTCCAGTTTTTTCTTTTCTTTGTTTTCTCCTCGTGTTTTTCGGACACTCGATCAGCTGACTGAAGAACGTTCAAACATTCGAACTGCACTCACAGACTTGCAGCCAATCGGCTCCCTCCGCTCAGTCCTGTATCCGGGGCGAGTTTCAGATGATCCGCCCTCCTCCTCCGGGCTCCCTGATTGGCTCACGGGGTGTCGATGCAGGGGAGGGGAGGGATTGGGGATGTGGAGACTCCGCCTCTTGTCTGATGTCATCACCGAGCAGCTCGACTGAAGGAAACGTCGCCGTTAGCGACGGCGCTAAAAATGTGTAAAAGAAAAAAAAAACAAAGAACCTGCAGCTGCCTCCAGGATCCAGGAGCATTGTGGGAGTTCTACAGACAGCTGGAGGCCTTTCGCAGTACTGGTCCATGATGTCTGAACCCAGGCTCTCAGCAGGTCCACACCTGAGTCCACCTGAGTCCACCTGAGTCATGGTGACGCTCAGCTGTTCAACCGTCCAGTAGAAACAGGTGAAATCAGCCTCTGTCGTGTCGTTGTCGTGTCCTCACTGATTTTAGAATGAATGTGTAACGTCTGAAGAATTGACCATATTCACACCGCGGCCATTTTCCTCTGACATCACGCTCAGATCTTCTCACTGAAAGGATGATGTCATACTGCTGACTCTGACAGATGGTTTCTATTGATGCTTCATGATCGACGAGCAACAGAAAAGATGATGGAGAATGAGAATCTGAAGAGACGTCGACTCATATCTCAAGATAAAGCATTAGCTACAGCTAACGTTAGCATCGACCGCTTCTTAGCTAGCATTACTGTTTGACAGAGCTGCATGATACAAGAGAAATAAATCAATTCTGAAACATCAACACAGATCTCAGACACGTTTAGTTCAGTCTGTAAGTTAAAACACATTGGATGGAATCAAGCTAGCAATGTAGCATTAGCTGCCCTGCTATATAAGTTAGCAGTGATGCTCCGCTGTCATCAAATCAAATCAAATCCAATTTTTTTATACAGCACATTTAAAACAACAGCTGTACAATCAGTAACATAAAAACAACACAGCAAGAACACAAACTGGTGAAAACAGACCGAAATGACAACCCTCACACTGACTCAGGACAAAGAATAAAAACCCTAGACCTGAGAGTGTGTAGAGGTACATGTGCCACTAAAAGATCCGACAGGTAAAATGGAGCTAGCTCATGTAATGATTTATAAACAAAAGTAAAAATTTTAAAATCAATCCTAAGACGTACAGGGAGCCAGTGAAGGGAGGCCGGCCCGGGGGAAATGTGCTCTTGCTCACCTGTTCCTGTTAAAAGACGAGCTGCTGCATTTTGGACCAACTGTTCACACAAAGTTCATGTTTGCTAGCCTAGCATTAGCTTCAGTGTTTCCAGTGGGGGTCAGTCTTCACCTTCAACATCTGGAAAATTTATCTGCTCGTTCATCGACGTGCTTAAAAGAAGGTGAAGTAAAAAACACAGGATTTATTCAGACATTAAAGTTCCCACCCTCAGTGTGACGTCAGAGGAAAATGGCTGCCGTGTGAATATGGTCTATGAAGGTGGAGTGGGGAGAATCCGGCTGTGACATCATCATCAGATGTTTTAATTAAAGCTGAAACAGCTGAGGACAAACAGCTGATTCTGGATCCTGACTTTATTTCTTAATAGAGACGTTCACTGACTCTAAAACTCCGTCGTATCAAACTCCGCAGAGACGTTTCCCTCAGGATGACCATGGACACTAGCTGAAAGCTCTCACCAGCTTTTACAGTAGATGTTCATCTGGTTAATTTCTCACCTGGAAAAAAAACTAAATGAGGAAACACGATGCAGCAGCAGGACCTGAGCTCAGGTGGACTCCTGATGTCTCATGAGACCAGACTGACAAACGTCTCCCAACTCAGTGTTGTGTTAAACCGTCTCACCACCTGGTCTGGATCTGGTCCGGATCAGGTCTGGATCTGGTCCGGATCAGGTCTGGACCTGGTCTGGAGCTCTCAGGATCAGGTGACACCACTCAGTCCTCCTGGGTTCAGTCCTCAGACCTGTTCTGGGTCTGAACCAAACAGATTGTAACATCTACACTTCCCTGATACCTGGTGACCTGATGAAGACAGTGAGACACAGTCAAAAGCTCCAGAAGTGAACGGACCTGGTGTTGAGACGGTTTCAATGAGTGAAGACTGTTGGTTCTGAAGCTGCTGCTTCTCGCTGTCGCACTGTGGATCATTTATCAGGTACTCCACATGTTCTGCTGCTCCGAGTCCAGACTGAGGTTTTGGGGGTGTGGGTGGTTACCTGGGTTACCTGGGTTACCTAGGTTACGTGGTCCGGCTCCAGCAGCCTCCTCCCCTGCTGGCTCTGAATCTGATCCACTGACCCGGAGTCAGTGGAAACCTCAGAGAGAGGAGTGTCATGTGACCGTGTCTCATCACACCTTAGTGACCCGGGACACTTTGTGTTTGTGGTTAAGACGCTGGTACCGGGGCTGACCCCAATGTTTGTTGCCTTGGTAACCGATGTCCAAATTTGTATTTGAATGCTTCGGGTTTTTGTTGTTGATGTTTTTTTTTGTTTGTTTTTTTTTTTAAATTAATATATTTGCATCACCACAGAAATCCCACATTATTTATTACGCAGCATTAATTCTTATTATTAGTAATTCTCGGACAAGGACGTTAATCTCAGTGATGACTCTCAGCTAATGAGACCATGTGATCATGTGACCATGTGACCATATGACAACCACACTACACAGATGTGGATCTGAAGATGATGAAATCTGAACTGACCTCAGGATTTTCACAGTAAAAGTGTTTTTATTTGTTTGCCACCGTTTTCTAAAAATATCTGTCGGCTCGTCTTAGAAGTTTTTCTGATGTCAGGACTGAAGACCTGAGGACCTGAGCACCTGAGCACCTGAGCACCTGAGAACCTGAGAACCTGAGAACCTGAGAACCTGAGAACCTGAGAACCAGGGTCTCCTGGAACGAAAACGGCTAAAGTCGGCTAAAGTCAAAGGTGTTTAACAAGCACTTTGTCTGAAGCAAACTGAGGCTACGTCCACACGAAACAATCCCTGTCCACACTAACACACCTAAAAACAGTTACCTACACTGAGCATGTGCAACCCGGTGTAAACAGGAAGTAGATTGTCTCCAGCAAAGACAGTTGCAGCATTAAAACAGAGAATGTAAGTGAACAGCAGCTGCTAGCAAAGACAACAAGGTCAGTAACTCTGTCATTCATCATCATGTTGTATTCACCACTGGTAGTCCAGGAGAGCCAATCAGGAGACACCGTGGGTGTGACCTCATTGTTTACAAAGGTCTCAGTTTCTGTTCAGACTACAACACAACCCAGAGTTTTCAAAATAAAACATAACACCAGATATTTCAAAATAAAACAGATCCTGCAGCATTTCCAAAAGTCTGTGTTTTGGGGACTGAAAAGCTCTGGAGTAGTTTGGACCAGAGGAGGAGACGTAGTAGTGTGGACGTAGCCTGAGGTCTTCAACCTGATGAGCTGTCAATCAGTGACTAAAACAGTCTCAGGTCTCAGGTTGGGTTCGGGTTCTGGTCTCACGGATGCAGGGATCTGTCTTGAATCTAAAAGAGCACAGACCTAAAAGACACAATCCTGCACATGTTCTTTTCTTTGTTTGTGTTTGTCCCTGGTTTAAAATGATGAAGAGCTGTCACTGACACATGATGATGATGATGATGATGACGATGATGATGGTTTGTAGCTATTCTGACTCCAGAGCAAAACCAGGATCCTGGAGGCGAGAGCTGCGGCACTGTTACCAAAAAACAAACAATAAACTAAAAGAAGAAGAGGAGGAACGAGGGTTACCGTGACGACTACTGAACTACGTTACCTTGACGATGTTTCACTGGAACAAGCCGGTGTTTGGACGGACTGGAGTTTCATTGATCCAGACGCTGGTTCTGAGTGAGTTCTGTCCCAGCAGAGACTGGGAACACTGGGAACACTGGAGCTGGGACTCGAGAACCCTGTGGGGACACTTCCATGATGTCATAAGTGAAGGGGGGGGGGGCACTGTACTGCACACTGAGGGCCTGAAGGAGAGCTGCTGAACAGATGAAATGTTATTTTTGGTGTGGAGGAACAGTGACGTGATCTGTCATCTTTGGTGCATTTTTGTGCAGTCACCTGTTAATAAAACAGTGTGGGCGGGGCTTATGTGTGTCTGGAGGTGGAGCTTCTTTCTGTCATAGTTCATGTAAACATGATGAAAAACTGGTGAAGTGTTGCACATGCGTCAGTCCTGGTGAACATTCACATGTTTTACGGGTCTTACACGTGTGTGGTGAAATGGCTGGATAGAGCCCTCGCCCTGTGTTTCACCTGCATGTGTGAAATTCAGTAGGCACATGAAACACACCAAGACCCACAAAAAAGCCTCTTGCACCCATGTCTTAAACCCAACAGGAAGTCAGCCATTTTGAATAAACTCTGCAATTTAAGCGCCATTTTTGCAATTTAGGGGGGTCGTACTTTAACAAACTCCTCTAAGAGAATTAATCACATCAACATAAATCTCTTTCATTGCTGCAAATACTTTACGCTTTTAAGGAACTCCATTAGCTAAGGAGAAATTCAACTTCAAGTTTCAGACTTAAGTAGAAAACTTAAGGTGTTTTGTGCATCCGACCCCAGGAATCACTTAAATTCAGTTGAACTGTTGCACAAAACACCTTAACAACCAGAGTTCACCTCGGTGATGTTCCCATCAGAACAGGGGGATGAGATAGTGGTTTCTTTTAATGCCAGCAAACATACGATCTCCATGGAAACTAGAATTTTCCTACCATTTTTTCTTTACTAAGAAAACCTTTGGAGAGATTCTGTGCAGCAACTTTAAGTAACTCCCTCAGCCGAGGAGAAACCTTAAGTGTCAAAGTAACGTAGAAAACTTGAGTTTTTTGCAGCTGGCTCCAGATCCAAACCAGCTTCATGACACTTTTCATTAGAGTAAAACAAACTCGCACAGACACTGATGGTACAGCTGATCTCCTAGAGCGACTGATGATGTCATCATTTTGGCAGAATTAGGTAATGCACCCACACAGGTAACAGGTGGAGACGCTCACTTCCTGTCTAACAACTCATTGCCCTGTCTCACCTCTGTAGTTCATCACCCTCCAGATGTTGTCCAGCTGCCCGTGGCACCATCGGGAGAATCTGGATGCAGAGCCAGACATCTAGGAGAGGAAAACAACAACCAGTCAACATCTTCATGATCAGTTCGACCTTCCCGCCCTTCACTGCTCATATGACGTGTTCCCTTCCCACCGATCCAGACGTCACTGTTCGCTGTCGGTCCTTCACTGTTTGCATTTGTGGTCAAACGCAACACACGGCCATGCTCGTGAGCGTCCTGCATAGGGTGACCAGATGTCCCCGTTTTTAATGTTTGTAATTAAAAACAGACGTCTAGTGTCGCGCTTGTCTTGGCCAACAGAGGTGACTAGCTGCTAGCTGCAGCAGCTTCAGACGTGAAGCTAAAACCATTTAAATAGAGTTATCCAATCAGATGTTTCTTTTTTGTTGTTTCTAGGCAGAGAAAAGGTCAGCTGGCTCACTCATTGGTTAGGAGATCATAACCGGGCAGTAAAATAACAAATACAAACATAATGCAAACAAACTGAACGACTGCTTCAAAGGTAGGGAGTCATCGTTTTATCAGTTGGCCTTCACAATAGTTAATTACAATACAACAGTTACTATAATCAGTTACTATAGTCCCTATTTTTTTATTTTATAGGTAAAAACATTGGTTACTTTAATGATTTATTGCCGACTGACCTGGAAATGTCCTGGTTCTGGTCACCGACAGACACGTGAGGGTTAGTCTTCACAGTGGACGTCTCAGCTGGGCAGCTTCACCTGCATCCTCATGTCACCTCTGTTGGGTCTGAGCTGTACCTCATGAGCTGGACACCAAATATGTTGGATTTCGGTTGTCTATCAATTTATTGGCTATCATTAATCATTATTAATATTAAGAATGTTAATAGTAAATAATAACTTTAAAATGAATTAAAGCCCTCGGGGCACCAGCCTAAACTAATAGGCAAAATAGCCAATATGGTTTTAGTCTCAATTTATTACCATTAACCTGGAACTCTGATTAACCATTAGCTTACTAACTATAACCAAACTACCAAATCAACAGTAAGTTAAAGTTGAAGGATTGGAATTCTATAAAGTAGAGGTTGGCAATATTAACACTTGTGCAACATTAAACACACCAGTAGTTATACTTAAAGGCATTTATCTACAATGAAGCAGAGTAAAAACACAAGTTTTATCTAGTATAAACAGGTGTGTGTGTGTGTGTGTGTGTGTGTGTGTGTGTGTGTGTGTGTGTGTGTGTGTGTGTGTGTGTGTGTGTGTGTGTGTGTGTGTGTGTGTGTGTGTGTGTGTGTGTGTGTGTGTGTGTGT